TTGATATAACATTTACTGTAATGTTTAAATGATGACATGAGGTTTACTGTAATGTTTAAATGATAACATAAGATTTACTGTAATGTTTAAATGATGACATAAGGTTTACTGTTATGTTTAAATGTTGATATAACATTTACTGTAATGTTTAAATGATAACATAAGGTTTACTGTAATGTTTAAATGATAACATAAGGTTTACTGTTATGTTTAAATGTTGATATAACATTTACTGTAATGTTTAAATGATGACATAAGGTTTACTGTATGTTTAAATGATGACATAAGGTTTACTGTTATGTTTAAATGATGACATAAGGTTTACTGTAATGTTTATATGATGACATAAGGTTTACTGTAATGTTTAAATGATAACATAAGGTTTACTGCTATGTTTAAATGATGACATAAGGTTTACTATAATGTTTATATGATGACATAAGGTTTACTGTAATGTTTAAATGATAACATAAGGTTTACTGTTATGTTTAAATGTTGATATAACATTTACTGTAATGTTTATATGATGACATAAGGTTTACTGTAAGACTTCCAGAAACGTTTAATGGAAAGTTTAAATGTTTACAGTAATATATATGATATTTATTGTGAGGTTCACAGTAAGATTTCCTGTAAAGCCTGTTGTACACCCATTTCCTCTGTTGGTGTAATTTTTATTCTTGCTGATACGATGTGCGTTTGAACTTCGTTCTGACAACACGTGAGCCGTATGGCAGTAGAAGCTCGAGACAAGTTTCATTAACTATTATTTCGATTGGAAACACACATGTTTTTAATTTTTTACTTTTACTGATTGCTTTCGGAAATTATTCTCCACGCAAGTGGCTTTACGATTAAGATTAGGCTTACCAGCATTCGAAATTAGAGTCCTGCTTTGGACAGGATGCTTGATTAGTTGCACACCAAGTGATTAACGCTTCAACTGACAATCTCGGGTGAGATTAGTTAGTTGACTCTGGTGAAAGCTGACCAGATCTACATGTTTACAGGTTAGTTGATTGACCTTGTTAAAAAGTGACCAGATACACGTGTTTATGGGGTAGTTGCTAACAATCTCTTAAACGGTTCGACCCTGGTGGGGAAAATATTATTCGTATTTACTAATTAAAATATTTCAAAATGTTTGTTTTAATGGTTCAAAACGTATACCCAATTGTTCGACTTTTATTTCAGCTAGTAGAGAAACAATGAAAACTTCAGCAACATTGAGACTGTTTCTAATAATAAAATCTAGAATGAGTTGGCTGTGCCTTACATAAAACAAGTAAACAATATATAACTGTCTTACCAGTAAAATACAGTAGTTTAAATCTAGCAAAAGTTAGCTGTGCCATACATAAAACAAGTAAACAACATATAACTGTCTTACCAGTAAAATATAGTAGTTTAAATCTAGCAATAGTTAGGTGTGCCATACGTCAAACAAGTAAACAATACATAAATGTCTTACCAGTAAAATACAGTAGTTTAAATCTAGAATGAGTTGGCTGTGCCTTACATAAAACAAGTAAACAATATATAACTGTCTTACCAGTAAAATACACAAGTTTAAATCTAGCAATAGTTAGCTGTGCCATACATAAAACAAGTAAACAATATATAACTGTCTTACCAGTAAAATACACTAGTTTCAATCTAGCAATAGTTAGGTGTGCCATACGTCAAACAAGTAAACAATATATAAATGTCTTACCAGTAAAATATAGTAGTTTCAATCTAGCAATAGTTAGGTGTGCCATACGTAAAACAAGTAAACAATATATAATATTTTACTGGTAAGACAGCAGTAGTTTAAATCTAGAAATAGTTAGCTGTGTCATACGTCAAACAAGTAAACAATATATAACTGTCTTACCAGTAAAATACACTAGTTTCAATCTAGCAAAAGTTAGCTGTGCCATACGTAAAACAAGTAAACAATATATAAATGTCTTACCAGTAAAATACAGTAGTTTAAATCTAGAAAGAGTTAGCTATGCCATACGTCAAACAAGTAAACAATACATAACTGTCTTACCAGTAAAATACACTAGTTTCAATCTAGCAAGAGTTAGCTGTGCCATACATAAAACAAGTAAACAATATAAAACTGTCTTACCAGTAAAATACAGTAGTTTAAATCTAGAAAGAGTTAGCTGTGCCATACGTCAAACAAGTAAACAATACATAACTGTCTTACCAGTAAAATACAATAGTTTCAATCTAGCAATAGTTAGCTGTGCCATACGTAAAACAAGTAAACAATATAAAACTGTCTTACCAGTAAAATACAGTAGTTTCAATCTAGCAATAGTTAGCTGTGCCATACGTAAAACAAGTAAACAATATAAACTATCGTACACACAATTTAACAGTCTAGAAAGTGGAGTAGCCACTCTGTGTTGTAAATGAAATTATACCTCTGAGAATGCGCAAATCCTCCCGATAAGATCACCTTTAGCAATAAAGACAATACTAATGGTTTGTATGTTTTAAAGAAAAACTTTGTAAGGTTTAGTGTTTATTATAAACTACATTTACATGAATTAGCAATATCTTAATTTTTTTCTGAAACACGACACTCTGGACAGAAAATTGATTCTCTAGAATGTGTACGTGTTTCTATTTAGTGGAGAAGTGTGTTCCTTGTACATTTTAAGTGCAACTTTACTTAAATCTGTATTTTAAATCTGTAGTTGGATTTCAGGCTTAACTCTAACGATAGTTTGCAATGTTGGAATATGGGTTTTTTAACCATAACTCCAATGATAGTTTGCAATGTTAAGAATATTGGGTTTTTAACCATAACTCTAATGATAGTTTGCAATGTTAGAATATTGGGTTTTTAACCATAACTCTAATGATAGTTTGCAATGTTAGAATAATGGGTTTTTAACCATGACTCTAATGATAGTTTGCAATGTTAGAATATTGGGTTTTTAACCATAACTCTAATGATAGTTTGCAATGTTAGAATATTGGGTTTTTAACCATAACTCTAAAGATAGTTTGCAATGTCAGAATACTGGGTTTTTA